ACGTGGCTGGGCTGTATGTCATTGGCCCCGCCAGTGGGCACTCCAACACGGGGCGAGCGGACTCTACCCGATCTGCCGTCGATGAGCAGTCCCTCACGGGGCGAGCGGACTCTACCCGATCCACCGTCGATGTGTAGTTCCTCACGGGGCGAGCGAACTCTACCCGATCTACTGTCGATGAGAAGTCCGTCCCGGGGCGAGCGGACTCTACCCGATCTACTGTCGATTGTCGAGGAGTCAGCGCTGCTGCCTTGGACAGGCTGGGTAGGGTCATCCGCACATCCGTGTTCTCTGCTGCCGGGTCTGCAATGTTGACTACCACCCCCGGAGTACCCTGCCGAGACGCCGCGATCAGCCCTACATGCTGACCACTCGGCAGGGTGAGCACTCCAGCTCCCAAGTCCACCACACATTTCGCAGCTTTTAAAAAGTCCCGTCCGAGAATACAGGGATCGCTCACGTCAGCTACCCAAGCTGAGTAGGTTGTCGACAGACCCCCCAGGACAAACAAAAACGTCCCTTTGCCTCTCATCTCAGCTGTTTCACCGGTCACGGTCCTCAGTTTTGTAAAGGTCGATGTTAAGACGGTCCCCACTGGAACAACGTCAGGCCTCACAATTGTGGCTGAAGACCCAGTGTCCACCAGGGCTGTACAGGAAACGTCCCCAATCTGCACGCGAACATGACTGGGGTCCCCCACGTCCGTCCAGCCCACCATTATAACTTTCTCTCCGAATGCCGGTTGTAGTTCCCGGTTAACAATTGTCGGGGTCCGCGTTGTCGGGGCTACACGGACCCTTTTCCGTTTCCCTGCTGATCTAACATCTTTGGGCAGCGCCGCAACAGATGACCTGGCTGTCCACAACCCCAGCAGACAGCGGGGCGTGCACGTCGACCGCTTCCTTCCTCCTGCTGTGCTGGACGGGTCTTTATTGCGCACACCAGCTCCTCCACCCAGGCTGGCCTGTGCTCCTCCTTCTCCGACAACGAGGTGGCCAAAACGGGGCAGGCTGATGTCTGTAGCGCCCCCTTGGCTGCAATCTCCCTCTCTGTAGCGAGAGCAAGTGCCTCTCCAATGGCTGCCGGGTGGGCAAGCTGGACGTGCAGGCGCAGCTCATCCGGTCTGAGAGCTTGGATGAACTGGTCGCGTATCAGTTCATTTTGGATCTCATTTGGCATTCCAGCATACGCGCGTCGACCCAGGCTCTCGATCTCATGGGCAAGACAACGGAGCGGCTCCCCGGGATGTCGATCACGCTGCTTGAACTCACAGCGCAAAGAGTCTCTCAAATGAAACTTCCCAAAGCGCCTCTGCAAAGCACCGACCAGGGCGTTGTAATCGAGTCTCTCTCCGGGGCTCAGCAGGAGCAGACAGGATGTATCCTCCTCCATCAGCGAAAGCGCTAACTGCACGGCTTTCACTTTGTCCGACCAATCCGCTGCGTCAGCCACCAACTCGAACTGTGCTCTATAAGCCTCCCAACTTCCTTTTCCGGAGAATTTGAGAGCTTTCATGGAGGGCCACGCGGGCCCAAGGGCGCCGCCATGCATGTTTACGTCCCTTCCAATGGCGGCGGCACCTGCCCCC